CGCGTGAGACCTTTTTCCGCCGATACCTACATCCAATGATCTACGTTCAAGATCCAAAGCTCGACACAGACAGAGACCTCTCACGCGTTTTGTCGATCGGGTAAACGAGCTGTGGGGATCAAAAGGCTGGGACCTTGCACAAAACGGCACTTCACTATCAGGGAACCTGTTTGTGCGTGCGTTATGGTTTTTCGTTCTATCGTGAGTAGACTTGCCTGCCCAGAGCCACAAGAAAAGTCCGACAGTGAACAATTTTATTTAGAAATGGTCGTTCAACACCGAAATTCAGGTTTATGTTTTTAACCAAAGGTGCGGTGCACTCAAACCAAGAATTTGAGTGTTTACCTGTTTCGCAGAATTCAAATGTTTCCGATAGAATTTGTCAATACTGTTATAGCTGACTAACTGAACGTTTATCTTTTGTTCGTCTCTCAGAACGGTTGGTTGCTTGGCTTCCACATCCATCTTCCGCACTTTAGCGATCAGAATCCCAAATCCCAAACCGTTTTGGGACCAAAAATTGAGAGTTGACTGTCCATTCAGTCAACGCGAATTGGATCCGTGTTTTGTTGTCTCCGTACGTTTCATGGAACCATAAGCACTCGACCCAGACATCATAATTAACCGCTTTTAGCAAGATCTCTATTGATTATAGACAGCAGATCGCATACGCCCCACGATCATTATTATTGACCATTTCAATAAGAAATGTTATCAGCTTTCTTCTATGCTGGAAATATCTGTTTCAAAGAGGGGGGAAATAGCTTCAAGTTATCACAAATTGATGCATGAATACAAAAATTTCCTTGAACAAAGGTACAAACAAAAGAAGAGCCACTTCGAAGCGCATAGAATTATTTTTAACCTATTAGCCTTAATAAAAAGGTTCTTCTGAACATAGCCCAAAAAAAGAAGAAGAGAAAAAAGGGCTATATATACAGCTTGTTCGCCTTTGTAGCAGCTGCGATTCAGCAGCTACAGTGTTTCAGTTATTTCTTCAGCAACAGCTACAGTGTCTGCAGTTATTTCTTTAGCAGCCGCTACAGTAAAACAACTGCAAAACAGCCTACAGAACAAGCTCATAATTAGGGAGGAATCCACCAACCCGTAAAATCATGAATTAAGCCCCCCCCCCCCCCCCCCCTCGAAAAAAATATATCAAAGTTCATAAATTTTCTGAAAAGTAACATCATGTAACGGATGGTATATTGTACAACCATATAACATTATCGAAAAAGCTATAGAGCCGACTCCAAACATGTCTGGTACGATCGAACGGCATGGCTGACGGTCGATGTAAATGAATACGGTCCAATATGTGTCAGGTGATAAAAACCCCGAGTACACACCGGGGTGATAAAAACCCATGTATATGCCCAAAATAAATCCAAAGTATTCCCCAAACTAGCGTGCCTAACCAACTCGATCTCTTATGCACCCTCTAACCCTAAGATACAAATTAATATCAGATTACTTTGCGGCGGCAACGCAACAATATTACTATCAAGATCGATAACATAGCGCAAGGTGTGTCGAAACCTTAATACGGTCGCCCTGCCGCTCATTCCGGTCGCCTCTATAGCAGCTCTCTAAAATTATGAACGGCACTTTACCTCTTTTTAATTTAACATATGAAATTCACAAGAAATGGAATGTTAAAGAAGCATGTGGATTTGTTAGGACAGAAGTATCTTCTTTTGTGGAAAAAAAGTCAGAATAGTTCGATTTTCTTTTGCATTGAAAATCTTGAAATGTACTTTATGATAAAGAGGTCCACGTAAATCTTCAGAATAGTGGTGATTTTTTTTTATAATTATATTGCTGCTTGAGGTGGAACCCACGTAAATCATTTCTTTGGTAACTATCTCTAAACTTAATTGCATGATAAGGGGTTAATCTGTTGTCTTCTCAATTTTTTATTTTCTGACTCAATATAATTGCTCCAGAAAACACAACCCGAAATTAAATATATCAAAAAACAATCTTAGGATCTGAGGCAAGAGATAGGGAAAGGAACTACTACCTCCGTCCCAAAACAAATGACACTTTAGCTTTGTCCTAAGTCAAACCATTCTAACTTTGACCAAGTTTATACGAAAAAGTATCAATATTTTTGGTACCGTACAAGTATCATTAGATCCATCTTGAAATATATTTTCATCTTATCCCTTAATGTCATAAATGTTGATATTATTCTAAATAAACTTAGTCAAACTTAAGATAGTTTGACTTAGGACAAACCTAGAGTGTCATTTGTTATGGGACGGAAGGAGTAAAAATCATAAACTTTTATGTATTATTGTACTCATTGAACCTTAGCCTTCCATTTTACTCTAAACTCAGGCCATGTTTAGCAGTGCTCTAGCATTAGAAATCCTGGATCTGGTGCAAGACGGATTTTTTTTTTGGGTAATTGCAAAACAACCATCCTTTCAGACTCCAATTGTGTTTTCACCATTGGTTTTCAGATTTTGCGATTTTACCATCAGTTTTCAAAAAGCGATGGTGATATTGTAAAATAGTTTTGCGATTTTACCATCAGTTTTTAAAAAATCAATGGTGATCTTGCAAAATCTGAAAGCAATCAATGGTGATCTTGCAAAATCTAAAAATCGATGGTGAAAACGCAATTAGAGTCTAGAATTATGGTTAAAACGCTATTGTCTTATTTTTTTTAATTCATCTTGACTCAAAACCCCAGGCTTCATCTCAAAGTGGGGGCAAAACCGGACCTCATCTAATCTCCCAAGTCCCAATGCCAACTTGGTGTTTACGAACTTCTGGGAATGTACCTTCTGTGACCTCATCAAATATCTTACGTACAAATGTACTTTCTAAGGGGGACCAAAAAAAAAAGAAGAAGATGGAATCTATATAGTACAACAGAATATAGCTAAACAAAAACCTAAAACAAGAAGTACGATAACAAGACTGACCCGGTCCTCCTGCCCAAGTCTTAACACACGTCGCAGTGCCGCACCATGCAACCCCACCTCCAGAGTTTTCCACAAACCGAGAAAAAGAAAACTCTCCCCAACCAACTCCGCGCAACGATCACCATGTCAAACACTCAACAAAAAGAACGCGCATCCCGTCATCCTATATAACCTTACGTGTACCATACAGGCGTTCTCACTCTGTTCCAGCTCGATCGACGCCTCATCCACGAGACCGAACAAAGCGCATAACTCACTCGATCTGCCGTACGCCGCCATGGCCGAGCTGCCTCCCGGGTACCGGTTCTACCCGACGGAAGAGGAGCTGATCTGCTTCTACCTCCGGAGCAAGCTCGACGGCCGCCGCAGCGACATCGACCGCGTCATCCCCGTTGCCGACGTCTGCGCGCTCGACCCATGGGAGCTTCCAGGCAAGACGACCATCGACAATACTATTAAAACATTGCGCCATTGAATCGAGAGCACGTCATTTCCAGTTTAATTAAGTGATCTAATGGTTTTGGTTGATCATGGGATGCAGAGGTTCACCGTGGCGCGCTTGCCGGCGGCGAGGAGCCGTGGTTCTACTTCTGCCGGCGGCAGGAGCGCGAGGCGCGGGGCGGGCGGCCGAGCCGGACCACGCCGTCGGGGTACTGGAAGGCGGCGGGCACGCCGGGGTGGGTGTACGCCGCCGACGGCCGGCCCATCGGGTCCAAGAAGACCATGGTGTTCTACCGCGGCCGCGCGCCGGCCGGGACCAAGACCGAGTGGAAGATGAACGAGTACAGGGCGCTCGAGGACGCCGACGACGTCGCTGCTCCGCCGCCGAGCCATGTCGTTCTCCAGGTAATTACATAGTACACGAGACTCCATGGCAGCTCCTGAGCTGATACGAACAATCCAAGCGCACAATTAAAATTGCCTCGTCACTCCGTAATCTTGGGTTACTGTACTCGCACGAGACGTGAGGGAATGTGCTACCTACCTGAGATGTTGAACGTGCATGATTGCTGATGTCTGTTTCTGCAGACGAGGAGCGCGTTCAGCCTGTGCCGGCTGTACACCAAGACCGGGTGCCCGCGGCAGTTCGACCGCCGGCCGAGCGCTGCCGGCGGCGGTGGCCGCCAGAACCCGCCGGCGCCGTCGTCCTCGACGGCTACGTTGGCTAACGTGGAGGAAACGGGTAAGAAGAGGAAAAGGTCGACGACAGAAAACAACGACACCTCTTCGAGCGATGGAGACGGCGGCCGCGGCCACTCCAGGCCGCAGCTGCTAGCACAGGAGGAAGGCATAAGCGAGGGGCTCGTTGACGCCGTGGACGACTGGACTGAATTCTTGGACTGGCCTTTGAACTTTTGATGCTGCTGGAAATTCGTTCACGTGATCGATCGTGCTAAGAACAACGCTCGATCTCTTTTACCGTGTTTTCCCGACAACAGGATTTTTTGAATTTTTTCACCTACTGCCAGAGATTAACTTGAGCCGTAGGCGGTTAATTTTAGGATGATTCTTTGACGTGGTTTCATCACCTCTGTAACCTACGCTTACAAACACAAAATTTGTACCGAAACTGAAACATGAGGCTTCTCAGATTAGCTGGCAAAGTCTTCATTGAGTTTCATGAACTTTTAATTAAAGCCAATGCAATTTGCAATATATTCTAATCAATTCCACTTGCGTTTTGGCTGCGCATGCACGAGCAGAATCTTTTCTATTATTTTTGTACCGTCCTTTCTCCTCCGGTCCTCAGTGCCGGTTACTGCGATCGCGACATCTAATCATGTTGCGTCGGACCAAACGTGCACGGGATGACGGAATTTGGGGAGATGAATTCTCAAATTGACTATCCGTTGAAGTTTGTATGCAGAAAGGATGCAATGTATTGTTCCGTCCCCTTCATCTATGCTGGCATGCAGTCATGCTGACAAGCATCAACCAATATAAACAGTGTTGGTAATTGAAGGAAAAGAAACTTTCAGAACCTCTTATGAGGGGCGAATTAATCGCCATGATCTACCAGTACAAAATGCGGCTTACTGCTTGGAGGAAAAAAAAAAGAATTATTGGAGATGCGAGGAGTCGATCCCCGAGCCTCTTAGGAGCCACCTGAAGTGTTCTACCAATTAATCTACATCCCCAATTATTATTTATTCTACAGTGTAATATAATTTAGTTTCTACTTTTTAGTAGCAGACATAATGCAATCATTATCCGATGTGTTTGGATAAAGCACTGTTCTCATCATGGATGATTGCGTTATGTCTTTGAATAAAACACGAGGACATGATAATCAAGATAAACCTCTTTCAGGCTCTCATATATGATTATCCTTCAAAGTTGAACAGAAGCCGGTGATTACGCGCGATTTGTGCATGAAGGTACGGGTCGTCCTTGACACAGCACCCTTATGGGCTGCTTTGGTGATTGTTGGGCTCTCTCAGCTGTTGGACCGGGCTTGGTAACTCCCATTTCCAGGCACGTGCAGCCCATCAACGGCGAAACCGCATCGCAGCACGCACTCCTTCCAAACCGGGAGCAACCACCGTTTCGTTTCTGATCATTCGACCGAGCCAGGACAAAATCCAGACTCCCATATCTCTGTCAAGGAATCGGATCCCAGTTCACCGGCCAACCCAGATTTAACTAGAGCCCACGGTGACGAACGGAATCTGCTTTGCGGTGCAAAGCCCGAACCTTCACTCGATCTTCCTAATCCAGCATGCAAATTCGTACTCGACACTGAAAGGTTTCGTACACAGGTTTCAGCGTATCGAACCTCCTTTCTTTCTTTCTTTTTTTCTTGCTGGCGAGGAATCGGAGTATCAAGGTTGTGTGAAGGATAAGCTCGCACGGCATCGAGAAAGACGGGCGCGCTGATGCAAAAGCTCGGCGCATCCAGTCACCTCCAAGCAGATCCATCCACCGCCGATACACTAGACACGCACGTCCCTGCCGCCCCCGGCCGGAACCGATTCTCTCGTCGGTTGGGTCAAAGGGAGCAGGCGATCGGAGCACGAGCACGCGTGGTTCCATATTCGGCAGGTCAGGAAAGAAAGGCTCGTCCATCGTCAGTGAGGATGGGAAGCTGCCAAGACGGCACCCTGATTGATTCCTGCAGGCACCACACCACAGTGTTGAGTCACTTTCACCTCGATATGCATGGCTTCTTTTGGCCAAACAGATCCCATCGATCTCCGGCGTGATCGACCCGGCGATCCGCTGGCTGCATGCGCGTGCACGGACCTATCACGATGCGGCGGACGACGACAAAATGCCGTGTCGCGCGTAAACCCGAAAGAGAAAAAAGGAACATCACTTCTGTAACAAGTGGCTGCAGCTTCATTGATCATCATCATCAGTAACAGAACGCACGAGAGAGCGCAACAAAGCCTCGCCGGCCATTCGCCGCGCACACGTCGGCGTAGGCCCAGCCCCGACGTCCGAACGGATAAGCTAATAAACGTACGTGTGCCGCGAATCAGGAGGGATAGGAAAGGCAAGGGTCCAAAAGCTCGCGCACGAGCCATGAGATGACGCGATTTAACTAACAAAAAGAGTGCTCAAGGAGATTTGTTTAGCTAGCACAGAAGTGGTTGTTGGGTCCGTCCTAGAGCTTTGTAATCCGGCTGCTGATGAGCGTGATGGTGACCTTTGGAATTGGCCCACCCAAGGCCCACGGCCGCCGGCCGGAATCCGACGGGGCGGGCGGGCCCGGCGCTCGCATCAGCAGAAGCCAAACGTGGGCGCCCGGGCGGCGTGTGCGCTGGCCGCACGTTGCTCCTGCCTTTCCCCCTCCCGCACGATTTTGTTTATTCCTTCCGTATCACCCACCCGGATTTAGAATGCCGTGTACACAAGTAGGCAATCAAGAACACGCAAATAAACGGCTAACAATGTTTATTTGCAAAAAGAGATGCTGAGGCCAGTTTCAATAGGTCTTTTATTTGCATTAAATTCTATATTATGTGTGCATCTTTTGCTGATTTAGCAAGTTAATTATGATGAAAGAGATGAGAAACTTTCATATTTTGTGAGAGATCTTTCATCCAAATGAAAGAAAGCTGGCTCTCTTTCCTAAAATTAGTCTTGTAAAAAATGCAATGAAAAACTCCATTGAGACTGGCCTGATATGCAATTCTAGTGAACGGAGAATTAGTAGGCAACGTTGAGAACGAAGCCACCCTGCAAATTAACTGTCTCCTCATCTTCTTTGCAAATAAATCTGCCGTTTTTTTCTTCCGTCTGAAAGCACTCGAACCTGTGTGTGTGGGTGGACGTGTGAATGGGTGGGTGTGCATGGCCCTATTGACCCGATTGTATTTATGTGTGTTTGGAAAAAGATTATATTTATGTGAGCAATCTATTTATGATAGTAGTAGTAGATAGTAGACACATCACTTGAGGTGGTCCACTTGGAATCCCTTGGCTTGGCTCGATGGCGTGTCAGTCAATATGAAATAAGCCTAGGGAGATCCATGCAGATCGATCTTCACCAGGCTTTACGACTCTGGTTGTTCTCTCGTGTCCAAGTTATTATTGTCGAAACTCGAGAACATGTGCGGTAGCGCAGCGGCAAAGCTTGCGGTTGGCAGCCTTGAGGTGGTGAGTTCGACTCCCCGTTCTCGCGGAAAAAATCCCCCCGCTCCTCCGCACGCAAAGCAGAGGTTAAGCACTCGCGCCGATTCTCACCGGCCAGCTGGGTCCCTATGTACGACTGCGGAGGGGGGTTCGGGTTTTTTCTCGATCTTTGTGAGAAGATTATTTTCCTTAAAAAATACCCGGGGGCCGTCATACCCCCCGCAGGTCAAGTTTTTTATTATTGTCGAAACTCCAAAAACCCATAGTTATTTGTAGTACGATAAAAAAAAATCACCGGGATCAAAGACATGATATTGGTCATGTACACAACTTGAGTGCAAAACTTTGTGAGGAATCTGTGTGCATGACCAACATATGTCCACCAAGTGCCTGTGGGCACTTGAAAGCCATAGAGCATCGAGAACAATTGTAAAGTGGGCGATGAAGAGTTGAAACTATCTCCCTAAACTTGGATCCACTATTATCTAACCCTGGTGCCATGGTATGCAAAAGATATACCAAGAAGTGGGCTATGTTGTGAGGCGTCAAATGTATATCTAATCCGTGTAGTGTCTTTCGTGTGTACACAACATATATGATCGTAGTCATAGATAAAACTTGTAGGAATGGAATATATTTGCCATGAACAAGCATGACACATGGGTCAATGCGATGCTTTCTCATATTTTCACCAAGTGCATGTTGGCACTTGAAAGCCATAGAGCATCGAGAACAATTGTAAAGTGGGGTGCTCCAGAATTGAAAACTATATCTCCCTAAACTTGGATCCACCATTTTCTAACCCGGGTGCCATGGTATGCTAAAGATATGCCAAGAAATGGGCTATATTGTGAGGCATCAAATGTATATCTAATTCGTGTAATCCTTCGTGTGTATACAACATATGATCATAGCCATAAACTTGTGGGAGTAAAATATGTGTGCCATAACCAAGCATGACACATGGGGTCAATGCGTCGCTTTTCATATGTCCGCCAAGTGCCTGTGGGTACTTGAAAGCCATAGAGCACCGAGAACAGTTGTAAAGTGGGCGATGAAGAGTTGAAACTATCTCCCTGAACTTGGATCCAACATTTTCTAACCCTCACGAAGTTGGCTATGTTGTGAGGCGTCAAATTTATATCTAATCCGTGTAGTGCCTTTCGTGTGTACACAACATACGATCATAGTCATAGATAAAACTTGTAGGAGTGGAATATATAATTCATGTAATTCTTCGTGTGTATACAACATATGATCATAGTCATAAACTTGTGAGAGTAGAATATGTGTGCCAGCGAAAGGGCCTCTAGCCTAGTGGTCAGAGCACTTGAGTAGCATCTAGCAGACCTGGGTTCAACTCCCCGTGGGAGCGAATAACCAGGCTGAAATAAAAAACAAAAGTAAAAAATTAGGTTGGGGTTTCCCCTACTGACTTCGGTAAAAAAAAAAAAAGTGTGCCATAACCAAGTATGACACACGCGTTCAATGCGACGCTTTTCATATGTCCGCCAAGTGCATGTGGGTACTTGAAAGCCATAGAGCACTGAGAACACTTGTAAAGTGGGCAATGAAGAGTTGAAACTGGCTCCCTAAACTTGCATCCACCATTTTCTAACCCTGGTCCCATGGTATATAAAAGAAATGCCAAGAAGTGGGATATATTATGAGGCATCAACCATATATATAATTCATGTAGTCCTTTGTGTCTATACACCATATCATCGTAGTCATAGGTAAACTTGTGGGAGTAGGCCATATGTGCCATGACCAAGCATGACACATCGGGTCAATAAGATGCTTTCACATATGTCCACCAAGCCCCTATGGGCACTTGAAAGCCATAGAGCATCGAGAACAGTTGTAAATTGGGCGATGAAGAGTTGAAACTATCTCCCTAAACTTGGATCCACAATTTTCTAACCCTGGTGGCATGGTATGAAGAAATGCCAATAAGTGGGCTATGTTGTGAGGCATCAAATGTATATCTAATTCGTGTAGTCCTTGGTGTGTATACAACATATGATCGTAGTCATAAACTTGTGGGGGTAGAATATGTGTGCCATGCCCATGACCAAGCATGACACATGGGGTCAGTGCGATGTTTCTCATATGTACACCAAGTGCATGTTAACACTTAAGAGGCATAGAGCGCCGAAAACAATTGTAAAGTGGGCGATGAAGAGTTGAAACTATCTCCCTAAACTTGCATCCACCCTTTTCTAACCCTGGTCCCATGGTATATAAAGATATGACAAGTAGTGGGCTATATTGTGAGGCATCAAATGTATATCTAATTTGTGTAGTCCTTCGTGTGTATACATCGTATCATCATAGTTATAGATAAAGCTGTGGGAGTAGAACATATATGTGCCATGACCAAGCATGACACATGGGCTCAATGCGATATGCTTTCTCATATGTCCACCAAGTGCTCCCTCTGTTCCAAGATTCAAATGTTACAGGAAAGAAGAGAGGAGGAGTGGAGGTGGAGGCGGCTGGTGGGCAAAGAAAAAATTGACAGAAAACCTAGCCGGATGAGTTTGCTTTATATATGGAA